ACCACCAGCACCTTTTGTTTCATCTTAACTCATCAGCAGCATCAGTAAGTCAGCCATCCACTGTACAAAATGATATTATAATTTGTCACAATCTGATGTTTAGTGTTGTTGTTGATGGAGGGCCTGTTGGTGGCTAGAGGTGGCCATTGCCCAGTTAACAAAAGTGGCCATCTTAATGATCGACACGAACTAGAGAAAAGGAAAAAGGGAAAAGAGAAAAGAGCATCCTCTCTCATTGATGGTCGAGGTTGATGCGGCCAAGTGCATGGCCGTGTTGATGCTGATGCTGTTGCTGCTGCAAACTGCACTTAAGTTGAAAGTGAAAAGACAAAAAGGTTAACATCAACAGGGAACAAAGTGGAATCACTCTTTTTCTAAAGACAGCTTTCCATGCGTGTACATCGACCAAAGTTAGCGCACACATATACACGGGTTAATTAATTAATTACACAAAAGCAGCATCGTGTTCTGCAGTTTAATGAGCTTTTCTTGGCAAAAAAGATAGAAAAGGAAAGAGAGAGAACTGAACACAGAAACATGAATCAAATTAACTCTCCATCGGTGACCTTTGGAAACTGAATCATAACCTCTATTTGTTCGAATGAAGCAGTCAGAGTGAAAAAGAACAATGAAAAAATTAGACACGACAAAGCAAACAGCAAAAAGAGCTGCAGCAACAGACAAATTGGACAATTGCGCAAAGAGGGGAAGCACTTTGGAGGTAATGGTGGCGATGGCAGTGGTGATGGTGGTGATGATGGCGATGATGATGGTGGTGGTGCCGCCGATAACGATGATGGCGGCGGCAGTGCTGTCTAATTTATGGCGTCTGCCTCTTGGCTCTGCAAACACAAAAACGTCTTTTCTTCTTTTTGCGGTCAATATCAACTCACGGAAATGTCGAGAATTTCAAAAATATAATTTTTTTTGCAAAAGTAAACTTGCATCGCTATTACGGGAGTTTCCGGTAGCAGTTTTTTACTGTTACTGCTGAAAGAAAAACTATATTCACTTTGATACCCGTTCATTATACTGTCAGCGACTGAAGTCATTAGACGAGCACAAACACACAGACAGTTTCAAAAGATTGCTGCTGCTAATGCTGCAAACGATTCCAGGCAGACGATAAGATTCAGAGTGTAAGTGGACGATGCTCCTGTTGCTGTTTCACTTGCTTCAAGCTGGCTGTCCGCCTTCATTGTCAGATACTGTCTGCTCTGGTAAAGAGTGGCAAAGAGGAAGAACAGACACACAATGGAATTGTAAATCATTACGGAAGACGATGTTTGCTTGCCATTTGAATAAAATAAATAAAAAAAATGAAAGCGACAATTGATGAAAAGAAGGAAAGTGAATGAAAGTTTGAATAAAAAAGNATGCTGCAAACGATTCCAGGCAGACGATAAGATTCAGAGTGTAAGTGGACGATGCTCCTGTTGCTGTTTCACTTGCTTCAAGCTGGCTGTCCGCCTTCATTGTCAGATACTGTCTGCTCTGGTAAAGAGTGGCAAAGAGGAAGAACAGACACACAATGGAATTGTAAATCATTACGGAAGACGATGTTTGCTTGCCATTTGAATAAAATAAATAAAAAAAATGAAAGCGACAATTGATGAAAAGAAGGAAAGTGAATGAAAGTTTGAATAAAAAAGATTTTTGTAGAATAACAATTTAAAAAAGGAGCAAAGTAACTTTTAGTTTTGTAAACCAAACTAAATTATTCATTTCAAAGTTTGACTCTTAAAACAAGTCTTTTCATTTTTTATTTTTGTGAAAACCCCAATTATTTCTCAGAAAAACTGATTGTACTTGCAAGAGAATCTGAATGCCATTTACATGTCAGTCTCAAGGCTATTGATGACGTGAAAAACTGAGTGTTTTAGCTAAAAGTGCAAAAAGTTCACAAAGTGCATTTGCTCATCTTTAAAGCGCCAGCATCTTTTTCGTCTCTTTTCTATTTTAAACAAGTTTCTCTACTCAAGGAAAGAAAATCCAAGTATTTATTTTTGCTAAAACATCTTTTCGGTTTATAAACATTGTCGCCGTCTGTTGAATGAGATTGAAAGTTTAGAGCAGCTTGACAAAAGTTTTTATCGTCATAGAAAACTTTTCTAAAAAATGATACAACTTGCTGATACCAAACATTTAACTAATAAAGCGTTAATGATATTCAAATTATAGTCAAAGCTAAAAGGTTAAAAATTTGAAATTAAGCAACAATGCAATTAAAATGGTCATTTATCGGTAAATGAACTTGTGCACCGTGAGACACTCGGGCACGTGATTAAATGTAAAAAATGTGTCAATGTTCAGATAGTGCGACTAGTTTTGGTGCTTTCTAGATAGTGACGCTATGTGGGATTTATCACCTCGCCAAACAGAGGTCACAAATAAAACAAGCATTTGAGCTGAGTTTTGCTTTGTTTAAACTTTTTTCAATAGTAGTTTGTAATGAAAATCGCGTTAGTAAGAAATATTGCATAATTAAAAGAAAGTGAAAGCTAATTGTTTGCAGCACATTTTCTAAAATGGTCTATAAATTTTGTATTTTGTGTAACAAAAAGCATTGTTTCAAACTAAAATTTGCATTAACCGAAACGACAGGTAGTGTTTGAGATAATGAAAATGATGGCGTTATGGCAAAGCCTACTAATGGCGCCCTACAACTACAGGCACTCAAAGCAAACCAAAGTGCGGTATTGTGGCAGTGAAAAAAGTGGCGGTCTCATATCCACTGTCCAAATTGATGGATCGATTGAAAAGAAGCAGACGTAAATCTTCACACCAGTAGCTGGCGCCCAGTCTGAGCAAGCCACACACGACGGGCTCAACACTGGACTGACCTTTTTCTGCCGGCAGATAGTGCGAAAGACTGCCCAAGTAGTGCACTGGAGTGAAATGCTGATGCTGATGACTCGCCGTTGAACTTGGCAATTAGCAAGCGCGACTCCTTTCTCCGCCGCTTCTTTCTAGTGAATAATGGATGGCCTAATTATTTGCTCATTTCACAGCACTGCGTTTTTAGGTTAATTTCAGCTGACTGTGATCGGTTTGTTTACTACTCCCATTTTTCTTTTCCAAATCGCCTTAAAAAGTACTTATCCAAACAGACACTTGTTGAATTGTCATCAAATGTAATAATCGCTTTCACTGTAAGCTCTTGTGCACAGTGTGAGTGTACGTGTGTTTTGCTGCCTTTGTTGATGCATTTGCAAAATGGAAAAGTTTCACTGGATGCACTTTTTTACTGTTTCCTACTTCATTTTCGGAATCATTCGTCACATAATCGTCACTGCTTGTCACAAAAAAAGTGTGAAAAAGGTTTCCCCACTTTTAGGATTAGGAAGTAGTCGTCGTCGTCGTTGTATCGATTTAAAGTGCCTAGTTGAAAACAGTCATTCAAAGTCGATTGCCGACTGCACAACTGCTGTTGCCATTGTGCGAAAGCGGGATCTCAATTAGTGTTTTCCGTTTGTCTGCTATCTTCAGGTTGATGCCAGCGATGCTAATGACATTTAAATGGTCACAATCACCACCCGACATCGCCTCATCACCTTGCGGACACCGGTAGTGCAATTCTAGAAGTTAAAACGTTCACTTTTTTCCAGATCTACTTTAAATCTCCTACCGACCTTTGAACTGTAAGGAGCCTTTCTGATCAAAAGAAAATAAAGCAAAGTTTCCTTCCCCAACTGCACCAGGAACGAATTTGTCGATTGTCGACTAGTTGGCTACTGGTCAGCTTTGCTTAATGAAAAAGAGCTCATTAAATTGGCGTAGATTATGGGAACTTATTTTGATATTATTACAACAACCAAATGTCATTATACTTTGCTTGTTTAAGATAGTTTGAGTTGTAAATAAAAATTTTTTAATGCTCTTGTGTATGATGTACACTAATCACTTGACTTGAAACTCTGACAACCACTTTTACAACTCAGACAACTAGATGACTGACAGATAGGTGGTAAATCAACAACAAAAATTCATAATTTGATTGTCTTAAACACACAAACAGACAAATGGTGCTTGTAAATATGTGACTGAAATTTATCGGCTATTTTACAATTTCGCATACTAACTTTTCACTGCCTTGCTCACAAAACGTTAATAACCGAGCTTTTCTCAATAAAAAAGGATGCAAATAGAAGACGATAACAGAGACTGGGAGGACATGTTGTAGACACTTTGCCAAAGTCACTCTCTGTACTGGCTGATAAAACCGGTCATCATTAAGTCCTGGTGGTGGTGATGGTGATTTCTTGGCGGACTGTATTGTGCATCCTCAACGCAGTCAGTCAGTCAGTCAGGACTGGTGCTATTAGCGACCCATAAGGCGATTTAGGAGATAGCAAAAGAGTGAAGACACTTCAGATGACACAATGCAACAGTCGCAGTATCTACGGCGATGATGAACAGACCTGTGCGAACAGACGACAGACGACTCTGTGTTCTTCAGACTGATCTGCGCTCTCTTTCTCCCTTTTTGCAAAAGAGAAGAAGGGGGAAAGAGAATGCGGTGAATAGTGTTTACCACCACCACCAGCAGTTGCTGATGCTCATCTAAATCATTAGCGTCCCCAAAAGGTGGTGGTGATATTAAAACAAAACAAAAAAACAGTGGACAGAAGATGATCGGCTATTGTGGTCTACAGATGAAGTGTTCAAAAGTAAAGTGAAGGAAAAAGAAGCAAAAGAAGTGAGAGTCTTCAGTTTTCAGCGCAAAAGAGATGCACGGATCCGCTTCCTTTTGAAGAGTGAAAGTTAAAAAGATAGAGAGAGAGAGAGAGAAAATGGAGGATTTTGATCGGATCTTCAGCTGTGGTTGCAGCAGCAGCAGTATCAACAACAGGCAACAGCTTCAGTATCGGCAAAGTCGATCCAGTATATAAAGAAGACGATGGGACAACTTGCAAACATCAGTCGTCTTCGTTTTTCAGCATTTTCATCACTATTTACAACTTTACTTTTTACCTTTGTGAATCCTCCTCACTAGTATTATGAAGTTCTTTACCGGGTTTCTTTTCATCTCAGCTCTGGCTGCCATCGCTACTGCCCAAACGGGTGGTTTTGGACCCAACGATGGCCAGTACAAAGACACCTCGGGTGGACCACGAGAAAAGATTCAAGCAGGTAAAACAGTTTTTACCTATTTTGACTATTTAATGTATAATGCGTTTCGCTCTAGCTATTCAAACCAAACACACTGTGGAGATGAAGTCGGTGGACATTCCCTATGAAGATCTCGAGCCTCAAATCATCGAAGTTGAAGGGTACTAATCAATTGAATATTTGTTCGACTAGTGAACATGAACGTTATTTATCTAAACCTAGCGGTGCCATACCTCTTGAAATCCACTTCAAGTCATCATCCTCTCGCATCAGAGTCCACCAGACTCATCAGGCAGGCGGTGCTGGTGAGGTGGAGCAGACCAGTTCAGAGGAGGAGCCGCACAGACTGGTAAGAATTTAAACTGAATTTATGGTTATTTTTAACAATTAAACTTGTTTTTATTAAAAAATTTTAGATACACGAAGTGAAAAAGCCAAGTAAGTTTAACTAAAGAAATTTTATATTAGAATTGAAACTAATCTTTTTACTTTTTTAGTCATCCAGGAGGTAATTACAACTAGTGGTAAAATGCTAACAGGTAAACTAATCAACTTTACTCTTTTTCGTCTGGTCACTTGCGGTTGTTTAGGTTCGGTAAGTAGTTGAAACACACATTGATTTTTTACTTATTTTTAACTTGTCAACTTGTTTTTTTTAAAAATGTTATCAGAGAGGTGATCACTCCTTATCGCCGAGTAATTCAGGTTAGTATTTGTGATATTTTAGCAATTTCTATCAATTTTATTAATTTATTTTAATCAATCACCAGGAAATCCAACCGGTGCAAGAGGAGATTCACACTATTGTGGCCAAGGGCGAAGCTCGACGCAACTTCGATCGATCTCAGTCGAAGGCTGGTGGCGGTGGTGGCGGTGGCAGCGGTGGCATGGTCCCCCCTGCTGGTTCCGCCGCTCCTCCTGGCGTGCCCAAGTCGCCTGCTCGTCGGGCTGCTGGTGCGAATGTAGACAAGCCGCTGTACTAGGTCTGAATGAGGTGTTTCATGACCACTGGCCAAGTTGTTCACAGACTAGGACTGGAGCCTATGTCTTGCATCTAACACTCTCTTTATCTCATTTTCTGTTTACTTGTTCATTTATAATAAATGCAAAATACATAATCATTCTCAAAAAACTTGAGCAGCATTTTCCTATTTTTCTAACCTTTCTAGAATGTTTACATTTTTTATAAATTACATTAAGATATTAAGATGCTGTTTAACTTAAAAACAGTTCATATTTAGTTTCTTAAACATCAAATGTTTATTGACCAACATGACATCAGTCAATGCTTAACGGTTTATAGCGATCTAAAATATTTAAAAAGCAAAAAATAAAAAACTTACTTGCAATGTGCAATTTTTATCAACAACTAAAACAAGATACAGTTTTTTGTTTACAACTAACGCAACCAAGTTTGAATTCACTAAATGACCGAAAGCATTTAACAAAGCCAAAACGAGTGCTGTGTGTGCAAGACGCCAAACTATTTTTTTTAAGAAAAGGAAACGAGTCTGTGTTAGGTGCCATGCGACCCCTTTGTTTTTCCAAAAACTCAAGTGATAACTAAAATCCGCATTCTCCAAAACAAAGTTTGGAGCCGCATTTCCATTCATATTGACCCCTTACACTACATTTACTGCTTACAATAGTAGTACATTGCTTATCACGTGAAATCACTAATTAGAGACATACGACAACAACAAGCTCAACTTGCGACTCAGTAAATATGCAGATGGCCATAAATGGCGCCAGACCATACACCACAAATTACAACTGGTAATTAAAAAATGTCTAATCCAAGTGTGCCTGGTAATTAACACCTCCATCGCCTTATCTACAGATTTGGCACATTTTAAAAGCGATGAACTACATCTATCTAGACTTGAATTTAAAGTACAGTGCACTTTTTTCTCTTAACCAAACGAGGAAATGTTTTATTTTATACAAAGCTGTCACAAAAATTCTCTGTTTTTGATTGATTTAAAAATATTGCAAATTTGAATCTTGTTGTTTGATTGAAAGAATAAATACGTTTTATAAATTTAAGTCGCTATCTTCTTTGACATCAGTAGGGGTTTCTGCAGTTTATGGTCTCGACCAATGGTCGGCGTTACTGCACTGTTCAGCCATAAAAGTCTGCGCCATTTTAAAATATTTTTTGTCTGGTTTCTTCAGTGACGCCGACAAGTTTGGCTCGCTTGCCAAAAACATTTTGATTTTGTGTTTTCTCCACATTGTTATCCAAATCATTCCACGACCTGACTGAATTGGAACACGACGCAAAAATGGTTTGTTTTGAGAAACTAAAGTTATGTTGTGATTAAAACTTGTTTTTCTAGACTGCTTCTGACAAAGAATCAGGGGCACCGGCAAAATTGCCGTACCCAAAGTCGGTCATCTTTATTATTGGAACGGAACTGTGTAATTTTTTAAAATATTTTTTAAATTTTAAACTAAAAACTTGTTTTTAAAAAGGCGAAAGATTCAGCTACTATGGAATGAAAGGTAAGCAAACTAAAAATAAGTTTCATAATGTTTTAAAATGTTTTTTTATATTTTCCATAGCAATTCTCGTCCTCTACTTTCGGTTTGTTCTCTACTACAGTGATGACGCTGCCACGCAAATGTACCATATTTTTGCCATGTGTTGCTACTTTACGCCTGTACTTGGAGCCATCATTGCTGATTCGCTGCTTGGAAAATTCTGGTAAGGGTAAAAGGTAGTTTGATGATGATAAAACTCATTATTTTCTCGCACAGGACCATTCTTAGCATATCGGTAGTGTACGCAGGAGGGAATATTCTCCTTGCTATTGCTTCTATCAAGGGAACTGTGTAAGTAATTACCCACAAAAAAGTGAAAAAACACGATGTAACTTTTTTTTGATTTAGGGTACTCACCTTCATAGGCCTGTTTTTAATTGCCTTTGGCACCGGCGGAATCAAACCATGCGTGTCTGCATTCGGTGGCGATCAGTTCAAGCCAGAGCAATCTGTCCAGTTAAAGCAGTTCTTTAGCCTTTTCTACATTTCCATCAACGCAGGAAGTCTTATCTCGACGTTCATTACGCCCATTCTTCGCCAGGATGTAGAGTGCATGGGTCGAAATGACTGCTATCCGCTCGCCTTTGGTGTTCCTGCCATCCTCATGGTGACGGCCTTGTCGTTGTTCTTCCTTGGAAAGTTTCTCACCAACTACGTCATGGTGCCGCCCAAAAAGGACAATGTGGTGGTGATGGTTTGCAAGTGTGTTTTCCACGCTCTCAGTGGCAAAATCTTCAGTCGAGGTGTGAAGCGAGACCATTGGCTAGACTATGCCGATGACCAGTACGATGTGAGTGGTAGATTGAAAGTGATATTTCAGTACTTATTCCTCCTTCTTTTTTACAGTCTACCACTATTGCCGACGTAAAAGTGCTGATGCGCGTCCTTTTCCTCTACCTCCCACTGCCTATTTTCTGGGCGCTGTTTGACCAGACAGGCTCTCGGTGGACGTTGCAGGCTCTAAGAATGAACGGCCAAACGGGCGGGTGGACCATCAAGCCTGACCAGATTCAGGTGATCAATCCACTTTTGATCATTCTCATGATTCCCGTCTACGAGTACGTTTTCTATCCCATCTTTCGCAAGATCGGCATCACACGGCCACTGCAGCGCATGACAGTCGGTGGCATACTGGCTGGCATCTCCTTCTTCATTGTCGGTTTCATTCAGCTGGCCATTGAGTCAGAGAGTCCTGGTGAGCTTGTCTCAGGTCACAATCACGCTGTCTTTGTCAACAGCTACAAATGTCAGCTAGAGTTTTCCGGACAGCTCATCGATGTCAATCGCGTCACTGTGTTTCCGAATGTACCACGAGAAAACTTTACCACAATGACGTTCAACGTCAAAAGCGGCATAGATGGCTGTACAGAAAAGTCTTTTACCGTCAGTCCATCTATTAACCCAACCCAGTTGAATGACAAATCAAACGCTTTAATCTTCTTGTCGGAAAAGCTAGTAAGCAGTCAGACTGTTGATGCAGCCATCTTCAACAACACTCTTGTGAAACCAGAAAATGGTGGTGCTTTGCTATTTACTGTTTTTAATTTGTTAAACTACAACAATGAAAAGTTTTCTTCAACTGAAACCAATCAAGAGGTGGTCGCTACAGTAGTCAACAACGGCAGCGCAACAGAGGCTACTTTTGGATATTTGAACGAATTTGAAGTAGAAATCAAAGGAAAAGACGTCATCATGTCAGTGGGTGCTGTGAAAAGTCATCTTAAGCTAGACCAAGGTGCTTCGTACGTTCAGCTAATCAGTGGTGATTTAAAGGATACAAAGGTAAGTGTTTATCCTGAAGCAAAGTTTATTACTTGTAGACTAACTTGCATATTTAATTTTAGAGTGTTACTTTTAAAACTACAGAAGTTGTGACAAAAAACAAACTTTCTGTTTTCATGCAAGTGGTTCCCTACTTTGTCATCACCTGCGGAGAGATCATGTTTTCAGTTACTGGTTTGGAGTTTTCTTATCAACAGGCAAGTGTTCACAAACAGCAAACAAAACTTTTAATGTTTTCCACTTTTAATGTTTAGGCTCCAAAATCAATGAAAGCCGTTTTGCAAGCTTGTTGGCTACTGACTGTGGCTTTTGGTAATTTGATCATTGCCATAATCGCTGATGCAAAAATATTTCCCTTTCAATCGTATGAGTTCTTTTTCTTTGCTGGGCTAATGATCATTGATATGGGCATTTTTGCGCTGATGGCCTACTACTACGTGCCATCAAAACTGGCCGAAGAAGAAGAGGCAGAAAATGAAAAGACAACAGATGAAAATGGCTCCTCACCGGTGCCTTATGGAAACGGAAAAGCAGAAAAGTGGGATGATGATTGAAGGTAAAATAGGCGGCAACACGGTAAAAATGTTTATAAATAACTTTAATTTTTGTACTTTTGTAAACAATTTGTACGCAAAAACTAAAGCTGTACAACTAACTTAGCCCGTTCGTCGCCAGACTTTAGTGGCCATGTTCTTGGGACGAACTTCACCCGGTGAAAGGAGAAACTTTTGACAATTTTTAAGCGCTCCTGCTCCAAATCCGCTGCTTGTAATGACAGTGCCGCTGAGGACGCCCTTGGCCAGTGTAACAGTTTCACCAGCACAAGGATTCACTTGGTGAATGACCTGACTGAGGTGAGGGGCATTGTCATCTTGCACCTTACCAAAGGGCGCCGCCTCACCGCCTTGCACGCGAAAGAACAGTCCTGCGTAGCTTGCACTGACGTCCACCCACTAAAGTCAAACGGAACAAAAAACGTTATTGTTATAGATAGGAGCGTTGCATTTGACCTGGTCTCACCTTAAGACCGGGCCAGATTTCCCCTGGAGCACGGTCACCTGGCAGCTGTACGTAGGTGAAGTTTACTGGAACTGGATTGCTCCTTAGACTGTTGATTTCCGCCTGGAGAGACGTTTTTAGCTGACTGATCTCAGCCAGGTGCGCTTTAGAGGCGGCATCAATGGTGGCCTGAAAGGCCTTCTTTGTCGCGTCAATGGCACCTTCCAGGTAGTGTTTCTGCTCTTCCGCTGCGTCTTTTAGTGCTTTGCGCGAGTTGAGAAACACCTAAATTAAAAATGCAGTGTAATGACTAGGTACGTATGATAGGCTTTTATTTCACACTTACCTGTTGCATGTGCTGCAGTGTCCAGGACTGCAGTCGCTGACAGACAACCAGGTTCTTCTTGTCGCACGGCTCGTCGGACCACTTGCCGACGTGCAGTGGTTCAGGCATCATTTGAATGCACGAGGCCACTGGCTTGTGACTTGGTTCACCTGGTGCCCAGTTTGTAAACTTTCCCTCTGCCTCATCAGCCCAGTGGAATTGTTTGTCAGCGCCCAGGTGGGCGCCTAACCAGACAGTGTCGTGAACGCCGTTTTTGCGGAAAATCAATTCAGTCATAAAGTTCTGCTCTTCAGGAGAGTGAATTGTCAAGGGGATGGAGGTTTTTTCAAGCTTTTGACAGGCAGAAAGTGCTTCTGCAAAGGTGTGTGTGCTGTCGATGATCTTAATGCATTTTTCGTCTTTGTAAGACTCCCAATCACCACAATTTGGGTCGCAAGAAGCTAGTCCCAAGAATAGCAAACTTAAAATGTTCAAAGTTTTCATTTTGTTTAAGAATTTGTTAATTTAAAGTGTGGTATACAAAACAGTTTGAGTACCATTGTTTATATACTTAAACATCTGTCTTGCAATACTGATCGGTAAACACTTGTCAAATTATTGCTGCTGCTGTTTCTCAGAGGCCACATTAAAAATGCAAATATAATTCCTGTTAATTAGGTTGATCTTTTAAAGTTGATTAGAGCAAATTGTGATAGCAGAGAAAACAACACTTTTTCAATTATGATAATGAAAGTGTCACTCGTTGTTGCTCAGTAGATTACTTGCAATGTGGAGTGCTTTGATCAAAGTCTGCGTTTAGAGATTGATTAAGAGATCGTATTAAATTGGGTTTATCACTTTTTATTATGGTTGATTGTAACAAAACTACACATAAAAAACATCAACATTTGACAGTTGATGCTCATCGAACACTAATCTTCAGCTCAATGTTTGGCGTTGTCAAAAGTTCAAATGTGTTGAAGAAGATGGGTACTGGTGTTGAAGGTGCTCGTTCAAAGCGAAACTTTCTCACAATGGTTGCCAAACATAGCTTGATTTCCTGGTAAGCAAAACGCATCCCAATGCAGTTTCGTGGACCTTTTTTAGAAAAGAAGTTAATTATAACAAAATGTCAAAAAGAGATTCTACTAAGCGTACCAGCGCCAAAAGGAAGCCAACTGTACGGAACCAGCAGGTGCTTGTTCTCTGGCATAAAGCGGTCAGGATTGAATGTCTCGGGATCTAGAAAGTAGAAAACACGATCAAAATCATTTGACTAAACCCTCACAATTATGCTATACCTGGAAAGTACTTTGGATTGTGTTGAATGGAATAGATTCCAATGTGCACTTCAGAGTCCCTTTCAATGTGAATGCCCGTATCGCCCAGTTTGTAGTCGTCGACGTTGCAGTGTCGCTTGAGTCGTGGCAGTGGTGGGTTACGCCGCAGTGTCTCTTTGATGACTGCATCCAGGTATGGCAGTTTTGTGGTCACCTTGTTAAAGTACTCTTCGGAAGTAGGATCAAGGCCATCAAGCTCACTAGTCAGCTCGCTGTGCAGCCGATCCTGAACATGCGGATTTAGTGCCAAAAAGTAGGCCACCATGCTAGTGGTGGTAGCTGTTTAAGCAAAACGATTAAAATTAGGGGCTCTCAAATGAGTGATTAAATTCACCTGTCGTCTCAAACCTAAAAAAGACAAAAGTTAGGCACGTTTTACTTTTAAACAATTTGAAAGTCCTTACCCAGCTAAAAAGAAAATAATACACTGGGCAATAATTTCGTTTGTTTGCAAAGTTTTCTTCGTAGACGTATTTGCAAATGCGGTTTCTTGAACTTCCGTCTCATCTAAAAATATAACTTTTTATAAACAAGTGTAATAATTTATCCAATAAACCCTTACCATTATCAGCAGTAGCAGCAAGTTTCTCGTAGTTTTTCGTCTTGAGCTCACTTTCGTAGACAAAAGCGTCTATAAGCAACTGAACTAAATCGTTCCTCTTCTTTCCATCACCAGCACGTCTCTGTTTGATAATCTCCTTGGAGACGTTAGTGAAGAAGTCAAACGCCCGATCGTCCATGCCGATGGTATTGCCCAGCCACTTGTTGACCATTTGAGGCAGTGAGTAGAATGCTATCACTCTCCAGATAGAGTTCCCGAGCAGGTCAGTGCCATTTCGCACAAAGACGTTTGACCTGTTAAGCTCACCGTCGGCGCTTGTTTCAGCACCGAAAGAAGTTTGAGCTATCACGTCAATGGTAAAACCAGTGATTGATTCTTTCAAATTGATCACGCCTCCATTTGCAGCAATGTCTTTCTTGAGGTACCGCTCCAGCTTTTTCACGCACTGTTCCATAATTCCGTGCATCAACTTGAGCTTGCCTGAAAGCAAAATAAAACAAAGTTTTGTAATTAGAAAACTCAAATAACTTTAATACCTGAGGTGAAGGACGGGCTGGTAATGCTGCGAACTCGGCGCCATACTTCATCATTTGAGCTAAAGAGATTTGAATTGAAGTATTCGTGATCAAAGCTGTTTTTCTCTCGATTGATAAACGAAGAAAAGTTCTGAATCAATGAGTAAAATAATTTGAGAGATTTGCTCAAATAGTAATTGACTCACCTTGACGATAATTTCCTTTGCAAGTTCCGGCTCGTTGATGGTCAGAATGGGTTTTGTAAACTGGTAAAAACCGTAAATTGAACCATAGGTTTTTGGCCAACTCATTTCAATCTGAGGCTGTCCATAGGTAGAAAACTCCCGGAGATTGCCAAAGTTGAGAAGAGAGGGCGGCGGTCCGGAGATTCCTCTTCGTGACCAGTAATTGAATTGCCGATGGATGTAACTGATGATAAAAGATAAGAAACTGAAGGATTTAAATTTACTACAGCTTAACAACTTACAAGTAAATGATGGCTGCAAACGATGACACCAGAAACGCTGCAGTAGTCCAGTAGTCCATTTTGATTTTTGATTTAAAAGGCGATTTTTGTAATGCAAAAAAGTTGTCAGATTTGATTGTCGAATTTGCAGATGCATTGGCTTTATATATTTTCAAACGATGTGCAGTCAAGTTTGCAAAGAGTCGTGTAGATGCACTTGCCTGCAGACGGAGACTGCTTTCCCCGTGCACTCGGACATTGGTTACAGTGTGTACTGTTTGACAGAAACACTGTTACTTGCCTGCTGCACTGGCAAAGGAAAATCAGCGCTTTCCTATCAGCTGTACGGTTAAAGAGTACAGTCTGTACGGCGATGGCTGAGTTTGAATGTACTCCCTGATTTGCCAGTTGAAACTTATTCTAACAAATAATGAGTTTATTTCGAAACTAAAACCGGTAATGACATTGTGGTTAGTTAAATTGCAGCACAATGCTGGTGCAGTCTAAGTGATGGCAGAAGATATGTTGCTGCTGGTAGGCTTTGACTGCTCTGCCTTAGAGGTGCTAGTGGCTTCATTGTCCACTGAGCTAAAGGCATCACGAAAAGTGCCCAGTTTGCCGGTTTGTTTCATGCGTTTCGTCAGTTCTGCCTGGACTGCCTTCAAGTCTAAGCCCTGAGGCAAGACATCATCGGTGGGCGATTGGCCGAAGAAGCAGTACCACCCAGTGACACATAACCCCACTAGGACCAGCATTAGCAGCAGCATCGGCATCAGAACTGTCACTAGAAGGTCCATGTTCTCCTCAACGCCCACCGTTAGTGGTCGGACCACAGGGGCCACATTGCGCTTGGGCTCACAGCGATCAGCCTGGTGAGGATACGGCTGGGCAATAGAGACGCCAGTACACTTGAAGAAACTCTCAAAGGGAATGCCAGTGACGGGAAAGGTCAAGGTCTTGTTGGGTTGCTCAGTGTAGGCCTTCATCAGCTCAACCGAGGCAATGTTCCCGCCAATGACGTAGACGCAGCCAGCATGTGTGTCCATCAAATAGAGGTAGCCGTTAAGCATAAAGCCACGCGGAACTGAGCTGCCGATCAGCTGAGCTGCCAGGTCCACTTTGTGATTGCTGACTCGAACACTGCGCGGCACCAGGTCCACTGTTCTTGCCTGGCGGCCCTTTTCGAGGTAGTAGTACTTGGCATTGTCTCGCTCCTTTTGAGTTACCTTCACCTTCCTGTGAATGTCCACCGTCTCCATTAGGTGATCGTACTTCATGTCGTACAGAACCAGCTGCTCAGTAAGACCGTAGATGTCCTTGTGGATGACGAAGCCTATGGTCTTGGTTTTTCTCGGTTGATACTGAAGTAGCGCAAAGTTCGGGTACATGTTCTGGTGGTCCTTGAACAGATCTACCTTTTCAGGCAGAATGTCCATTGAGAAGACGGTGCTGTTTGTGTACAGCAGCACCACCAGGAACGAAGCTCTGAAGCGTGCCTCCATCTGATACCATTTTCCTTTTGGTAGACCAGGCAAGCCTTCAAACGCCGAATCACCGTAGTAGAGCATGTAGATGGCGGAGACTTTGCTGACGTCGAGTCGCTTCCCTTGGACCATCGCTTGGACGCCCTGTCGCAGCTCCTGTTCGTCCCACCGGAAGTTATTCAGACTCATCTCCATGCTGCTGTTGGTGATCTGCGACAGCTCAACGTAGTGCTTCTTGTCGCCCTCAAAAATGAGCAAGTTTTTTGCTTTTCTCACACTGTAAACGGTGATGGATTTTATGTGAATGCGATCAAAGTGACCAGTAGCTATCTTTGTGCACAGGTGCTCAGAAGGATGAGTTGTCGTGTCTGTCGAGTACTTTGACATGGTGGAAAGCCAAAGGAAGAAGGCGAAAGCGAATTCGCTTGACGATGCCAAGAACATGTTTAGATTGAAAGTATCTGTTGTTATACGACAAATGTATTGCAAATAAAATAAAGAATGAAAAAACAGATCAGTTTTAAAACAAGTCCAAAATATAGAACAAACTTAAAGTGTCATTGTTTTATTGAGTATCGCATGTTTGTTTAGTTTAAAATCAAAAGGAAATTGTAAAAAAGATACATTTACAAGTTTTTCACGTACGAAGTTTCTTTACAGCTCTGCCGCCGTTTTGGTCGTCCATATCTTGGTGAGTCTCATCGAAGTGCTGATAAATTACATTGGCGTATTCAGCTTTAAAGTCACAACTGGCACATTGATATTGGCCAGAAAGGTGATTTGAAAAATAGTGTTTCGAAAACGCAGTATATTCGGACAATTCAAAGTTGCAGTTTGAGCAGGAAAATTTTTTCAAGTTTGAATGAGCCGCTTTTACGTGGTTTAAAAGTTCCTCGCTGAAAATGAAGTGTTTGTGTAAAGTTGAAAAGCATTTAGTTAAACAAAGTAGAATTGCTTACCTTGTGTTGAATGATGCAAAGCAGTCAGGAAGGGCAAAACAAATAATTTTATGCCCATTGTGTTTCTTTTTAAAATGTTCGCTCAAGTGATCTCTAGACGGAAATCCTTCTTCCGAGCTACAGTTTTTAAAATAGCATTTTCTTAAAAGAACGCGAGACTTTTTTGACCCAATAGAAGAAGAACGACGTGAAGTTGACTTCTTTGCTTCGAAGACTATCTCCAAATCACTGTCATATTCTTCAGACTTGACTCTCACCAATTGATCATTAGAAGATGATGGCAGTCCATTCTGAGCCAACTGCTGGTTGGCACTTCCGTTGAGTGAAGCATTAGCCGATGTTGACGGAGCAGTTTTACCAGCCTCTTCAGCAGTTCCATTTGACGCTCGTAATGGAGAGTTCTACATTGAGGACAAAGTGTTAGATATAAAGACAAAAGGACGAAAAATAGTTACGTTTATTTCTTCTTTCACTTTATGAGTGGATGAAATAGACTCCTCTTGATTGTCTAACTGAGAAGCCGAAGAATTTAAAGCACAGGCAGCAGGTTCATTGTTCTGGTTGACGGCTTGTTCAGGTTGTTCTGGCTGAGCAGCTTGAGTGACCTGCTCATTTTGCTGCACTTGTGGAACATTTGGAATGGCTTCTTCGGGCTGCTGTACCGGCTGAGCGACGGTGATGGGCATGGAAGGTTGTGATACTGGTTGGGCAGATTGAATACACTGTCCCTGTTGAGGATGTTGAAAGACCTGGAATTGGTTAGCTGGAAAGCAGCCTCGCGCAGGCGAAGACTGAAATGCAAACATTTGTTGTTGAGGTAAGCTTGCGTACATAAGATGATTGTTCGCCGGAACTTGTATATAAACCGGTTGGTTCACTGGCATTTGGGGGTAGTTGTTAGCTGATGGCTGCAAAACTTGCGGACCTCCAAAACTTGCGCCTCCAAGCTGCTGCATTCCATTGGTGGATACAATCCGATCGAGTTGAACGCCAAGCTTCTTCACAGTGTCAGTTAGCTCGGCCAATTGATTGGACAGTTGTTCCATACCATCCTTAATCTCAGTTAACGAAATTTCCTCCATGACAAAGCTTGAGGATACTTGAGGAACAGAAACAAGCCGGC